CGGTAGGCGAGAGCCAAGGCTAGTAGGGCCAAGGAACCTTTCCGTATGGGGGGAGGGAAAACGAACCAGAGAAGGAAAGAGTATGGTACGGTATGGAATATGAGTTTCAAGTATTGTATTGTATTAACAGCAACACGTGCTAGAAGATGTAGTACAATTTTTGCTGCTTTTTGCTGTTTTTTGTTTCTTTATCTAGTTTTGTCTTATCTGTATATCTCCACGTGGGTTGGACTGTTAGAGAGTGATGTGTTATCTTATCTTGTATTGCTGTTTTCATTTTCATTTTCATTTTCATTTTTTTAGTTTGGTTTGGTTCAGTTCAGCGAGAGAGAAGAGAAGAGAAGAAAAGGGAGGGGGAGGGGGGCGAACCGCAGGTTGTGCTATGTTGTGGTGTGTGTCACAGGGTCAAGTTTTAGAAACAGCGACGCTTTCTGTTTTTTTGTAAAGTTTCGCCTGCCCGCTTGTCCGCTTGTTGGTTAGGCAGCGGTGAATTTCTCCGGTTCAGCTGAGCTGAGCTCAGCTCAGCTCAGTTCATCTCGTCCTGTCACTTCCACTTCGGATCGAACAGAACATACGATTCATTGCACCGACTGGCAGAATGCCCAACGTGCGTGCATAAGTGTCCCTCTTCCAATAGTCCAAGCAAGATTAATATCAATTCTGCCCAACTCAGCACAATTCCTGTTCTAATATTAAATTCTAATATTAAATTTAATATTGATTCCAGAGCACATGGCATGGCAGTTTCTCCTCTCTTGGCCTCTTCAATGAGGAAAAGGGAACAAAATAAACTTTAAATGTTCCAAAATATCTGTGAAAAGAAAAACGCGGATACACTGTGTGTTCAGTGCCTTGCACTACGGCTATACTGCTTCAATCCCGAAGTCACTTCAGTTCAGTTCACTTGAATCCAATCCAATCTAATCCCATTCCATTCCATTCGATTCAACTCGATTCGATTCGACTCATCTCAATCCAATTCAACGCACCTCGATTCGGTCCATTCCAATTGCACTCCCTCTGTCACGGCACGTATCTTCCTCATCCTCATCCTCATCCTCATCCAACTTCATCTTCATCTTCAATTCCAAATCCAAATCGAAATCCAAAGTATAAATAATCCATCCATATTTCATCAATTCCTAGTTTCTCAATTCTCTTTGTGTCATATTCCGATCTCATCCTCTCATCTGTTTGTGTCTCTCTGTTTTCTTCTCTTCTCTTTGTGGTCAACTCAATAAACCATACACAAAAGCATCCACCAATCCAATCTATCAGCTGCATTTCATTTCATTTCATTTCATTTAATTTTATTTTATTTTATTTTAAATAATAACACTTTGAACACACAAATCACAAATGCCTGAAGTCACTGAAGGTGGTAATGCCGCTTTCCACAACTATCTGAACGATTTCTCCCATATCGAAGACCCTCTAGAGAGAAGAAGATTGGCTCTACAAAAAATTGATGAAGCTAAATTCGGCTGGTATCACGTGAAAGCCATCCTGGTTGCAGGTGTAGGTTTCCTTACCGACGCTTACGATATCTTTGCAATCAATTTAGGTGTATCAATGATGTCCTATGTCTTTTGGGGTGGTCACATTCCTTCCTCTACTGAAACTTTACTAAAAGTATCCACTTCTGTAGGTACCGTCATCGGTCAAGTCGGGTTTGGTACTATGGCTGATATCGTCGGTCGTAAAAAAATTTACGGTTTAGAATTGATCATCGTCATCGTAACTACCATCTTACAATGTACCACAGGTCATTCCCCTGCTATCGAATTCCCTGCCATTTTGACTTTTTACCGTATCATCATGGGTATCGGTATCGGTGGTGATTATCCTCTATCTTCTATCATCACTTCAGAATTCGCTACTACCAAATGGAGAGGTGCCATCATGGGTGCTGTCTTCGCTTCTCAAGGTTGGGGTCAAATCACAGGTGGTATCGTCGCCATGATCTTGATTGCCGCTTACAAGTCTCAACTGATCGATGCAAACACTGCCGCAGAATGTGGCCCCGCTTGTATGAAGGCTTGTGATCAAATGTGGAGAATCTTGATCGGGTTCGGTGCCGTCCCAGGTATGATCGCTTTGTACTTCAGATTGACCATCCCAGAATCTCCTCGTTACGCCTTGGATGCAGAATTAAATAAAATCACTAATGCTCAAACCTCCGGCGGATCCTCATCCGCAAGCGAGTTCAACACTACTGCCGATGAAAAGGATCAAGGTTTCAACACTACTGTCAAGTCCCTAGATAACAAAGAACGCACCGAAATAAACCAAGTCAACGTCAACAACGGCAATGAAGAAGCTCACAACCAAGGCCCTCCAAAGGCCTCTTTCAAGGATTTCCGCCATCATTTCGGTCAATGGAAATATGGTAAGATTTTGTTGGCTACTGCTGGTTGTTGGTTCATGCTGGACGTGGCCTTCTATGGTATTTCTTTGAACAGTGCTGTCATCTTACAAACTATCGGTTTCGCCTCTTCAGATAACGTCTACCATAAATTGTACAACTCTGCCGCTGGTAACTTGATCTTAATCTGTGCTGGTTCTTTACCGGGTTACTGGTTTTCTGTTTTCACTATAGATACAATCGGTAGAAAACCAATTCAAGTTGGTGGGTTCGCCATCTTAACCGCTTTGTTCTGTATCATCGGTTTCGCTTACCATAAGGTCGGTTCTCACGGTTTGTTAGCATTATACGTCTTGGCTCAATTTTTCCAAAATTTCGGTCCAAACGTTACTACTTTCATTATTCCAGGTGAAATCTTCCCAACCAGATACAGATCCACAGCTCACGGTATCTCTGCTGCCTCAGGTAAGATCGGTGCCATCATCGCCCAAACCGCTTTGGGTACCTTGATCAACCACAACTGTGCCAGAGACGGTAAGGAAGAGAACTGTTGGTTGCCACACGTCATGGAAATCTTCGCATTGTTCATGTTGCTAGGTTTCCTATTGTCATTTTTATTGCCAGAAACAAAGAGAATGACTTTGGAAGAAATTTCTGAAAAATACCATGGCGAAGTCCCATTAGGAGGTCCATCTATCTCTACTCCTACTTACAACGATACCATTAGCTCAGCTTCTATCAATCACATGGTTTAGTTTAGTCATGTTTGATGATGCACTGAGACCAAGAAGAAAAAAGAACAAAAAAAGGAACAGTAACTGAATTCTTTCTTTTCTCTCTTTTTATTTCTCGTCACAACAATCCACCCCATTCACTTCGACATCTAAATTACACATAAGGGAAGATTGATAGATAGCTCCCTCCCCAAATTATTCGTGATAATATTTTACATACACATCTTTTGCATATACTTTTATTTATATATTAAAATAGATATACACACATACATATTATATATCTACATTAAATTACGTTAATATCATACTCATAATTAATTAATTAATTAGTTAACCAGTTGGTAGAATCAATCGCCCATCATCAACACAATCGATACCATATATGTATAGCTTTGTTCCAACCTCTGACGCTTTGGCATCTGGTTTCTTATTTCGATTCGTATTATCATCATCACACACGAAACACGATTTTATTTGAAATTGTTTCTGTGTGGTTACAGGAAATCAAAACAAAAGATCTCTGATATTAAAATGGGATCAAACTTATCGAATACCATTAATAAGAGTTAAGACATATCAGTTTTAGGATTAGAATTGGCATTGAGACTGGAGATAGGACAAGGAGACTATATTGGCAACTTACTAGAGGGTATCTGTTTTGTGTAGTGGAAGTTTACTGTTTTGAAATTTTTGATATTTTTGTTATATTTGAAATAGACAAGGATATAGAAGAATTATAGATATACTAGAGATCGAGAGAAATATCTGTCATTGGAGCTCTAAACTTGATAGATTAAGAAATTAGGATAACGTTTTGTACGTGTATTAAAAAGAATTAGAACAGTATGAGAGAGGTAATTAGTATTAACGTCGGTCAAGCTGGTTGTCAAATTGGTAATGCCTGCTGGGAATTGTACTCTTTGGAACATGGTATTAGACCAGATGGGTATCTACAAGAAGGTTTAACTAAACCAAAAGGTGGTGAAGAAGGGTTTTCTACTTTTTTCTACGAAACTGGTGCAGGTAAATACGTTCCTCGTGCTGTGTATGTTGATTTAGAACCAAATGTTATCGATGAAGTACGTACTGGTGCTTATAAAGATCTTTTCCATCCTGAACAATTGATCAATGGTAAAGAAGATGCTGCAAATAATTATGCTCGTGGTCATTATACCGTCGGTAGAGAACTGTTAGATGAAATCTTGGATAGAATTAGAAAAATCTCAGATCAATGTGATGGTTTGCAAGGTTTTTTGTTTACTCACTCTTTGGGTGGTGGTACCGGTTCTGGTTTAGGTTCTTTATTATTAGAACAATTATCTATTGATTATGGTAAAAAATCAAAATTGGAATTTGCTGTTTATCCAGCTCCACAAGTCTCTACCTCAGTTGTAGAACCATACAATACCGTTTTAACCACTCACACCACTTTGGAACATGCCGATTGTACTTTCATGGTGGATAATGAAGCTATCTATGATATGTGTAAGAAAAATTTGGATATCTCAAGACCAAGCTTTTCAAACTTGAATAATTTGATTGCCCAAGTCGTATCATCTGTCACTGCATCCTTAAGATTCGATGGTTCTTTGAATGTAGATTTAAATGAATTCCAAACTAATTTGGTTCCTTATCCAAGAATCCATTTCCCATTAGTCTCATACGCTCCAATATTATCAAAAAGCAAAGTTTCTCATGAATCAAATTCAGTCGCTGAAATAACAAATGCATGTTTTGAACCAACTAATCAAATGGTAAAGTGTGATCCAAGAACTGGTAAATATATGGCAAACTGTTTACTGTATAGAGGTGATGTTGTAACAAGAGATGTACAAACTGCGGTAGCTCAAGTTAAAAATAAGAAAACTGTTCAAATGGTCGACTGGTGTCCTACTGGTTTTAAAATTGGTATCTGTTATGAACCTCCTACAGCTACTCCAAACTCTCAATTATCTTCTGTGAATAGAGCTCTATGTATGCTATCAAATACAACTGCAATTGCAGATGCTTGGAAGAGAATTGATAGGAAGTTCGATCTAATGTATGCTAAACGTGCTTTTGTTCATTGGTACGTCGGTGAAGGTATGGAAGAAGGTGAATTTACTGAAGCCAGAGAAGATTTAGCTGCATTGGAAAGAGATTACATTGAAGTAGGCGCTGATTCCTACGCTGATGAAGAATTTTAGAATTTCGAATCTTATTATAAAAGGATAAATTGTTATAAATTCATTAATTCAAAAAAAAAGAGAATATTTTATAAAAATCAAAACAAAAAAAAAATTGAAATAATATTTAAACAAAAGAAAACCAAGATTTTTTTTAAAAGGATTAAAAAAACTTTTTCTACACTCTAATACCATCAATGTTATTCCATTTAAAGATGAAATGATGTCTTTCGTTCGATAAATTTGGCTCTATTATTTTATTAATTTTAATTTATTTTAAGAATATTACAAGACTACCACATGATAATTTGTACATTTATATACAGTTAGTGTTATACGTGTATATTCTAATATACCCCAGGGATTTATACTTAACTTCATTCAATTGTAAGAGTATACATAATAAAACATGCGAATTTATATAGAATATGAATCACTTGAATCCAAAAAAACTGTTTACTGAGGTATTCATTTTTATATTGGGCATTCTAACCCTCTTATTTCTTGTCTCGATTTTATTGTTCATTTGAATTCCTCTCTTGAGCATTGGTTTTTTCTTCTTTATATAACAGTAGGTTTCTTTAGCCTTTTGTATATAATAATCAGTTTTTTCGATATTGGCATTATATGATGTTCGAGACAAACCAGTTGACCCGATATTGATATCTATAATTATCTTTTCATCAGTGATGCCTAATAGATCAAGCTTGGAGGCTTTTTTGAATGCAGAAGAAGAGTTATAATCGATCTTTTTATGCATATAGTTCATAGAGAGCAATGGAATTTCATTTACGACATTGGGAGGTAAAGAGACCTCAAATATTACCAATGAAGGTAAGACAGAAAATAGTTCATGGAATAGTTTTGGAGAACTTAAATCTGGTAGACAAAGATACTTCAAATTTTTCCATCTATTTTCATTAACCAAAATAGAACGTCTCCAACCATAAACTACAGTTTCCAATGATGTACTAGCATGAGTAGTTAAGCTCAACGAATGTAGAGAATTTAAATTGACCAGATGTAATAGATTTTCTGCATTGCAATCTAAAGTCATACAAGTGACAAAATTCGAATCAACATTTGAATTCAAATATATTATTGATGGATCTAAATTTATAGATTCTAATTGAATAAATTGGAATCTATAGTTCATCGAATCATTTAATTTGAACCCATTTTTAATCATATATTTAACAAATGTAATAAATAACTGTAGTGAATCATTACGATCATCCATCAGTCTCCCCCAGATTTTTTTTATGTACAATCCATTAGGGATACAGTCAAGTATTTTGTCAATATAACCAGGTGAACAACTTTTAGATATCTCTAACGATATCATATGACAACATTTATCTGCTAATGAGATACCTATTGTATCGTTACAATAGCCATTGCCATTACCATTACAGATTGAATCATTTTTATAACCAATTTCGTACCACTCACGACGATAACCATCAGTTCCCATCAAATATGTACCAATTATACCAAAACAAATTCCAATATTAACAGTTATACCATCTGCAACAACTCAATTCCTATCAATTGACCTCTGATTGACCCATCTTAAACTATAATTTAATTACAAATCATTCATTAATCATCTCTTGCTTGTAGATGGCTTTCTCTTGTATGTTGAAAAATTATCCATATTTTTCAATATGGCCAGGTCAGGTTTAGTCTTGATTTAAAAGAGGTGAAAAATTATATTGAAAACCTCATTTGAATATAAAACGATGAATGATAGAGGTTTGTCAAAATATCTATTTTAACTAGTGCATTGATCGATTCACCAGACTTGTAACATCGATTCTTTGTTTGGTTGTTTGATCAAGATTGTCTAATTCTGTCTTTTTTTATTTTCGACTTTATTTGGTTGTCTGCTGCTAGTTATTGTTGCTGCTACTATTTAAGACAATAATACAAATTAGCTAGATATACATTGAACTATAAACGAAGTTTAAGAGTTATTTAAACGGATTAGTTTCAAATAGGATTCTTAGTTTTAGTGGATACAGTTTATTTTGGAAATTTTTGCTTACAATAATAATGAGCTTATCACTTACTGGACAAAAAAATTTTGTCTTTAAGAATTGGGCTGGGATATACTCATGTAAACCACAATTATACTTTCAACCTTATGATGTTGATGAAGTGGTTCAAATTGTCAATGATGCTCGATCTCAGAAAAAAACCGTTGTTACTGTAGGTTCAGGCCATTCTCCTAGTAATATGTGTATTACTGATGAATGGTTAATGAATTTAGATAATATAAACGAAGTATTGAAATTTGAAGAAAACATAGAACAACATTATGCAGACATCACTGTAGATGCTGGTATCAGAGTTTATCAAGTCAATGAATGGTTGGCTAAAAAGGGATATGCTATTCAAAACTTAGGTTCTATTTCTGAACAAAGTGTTGCGGGTATTATTTCTACAGGTACACACGGTTCTTCTCCATTCCATGGTTTAGTCTCTTCAAATTTTGTAAACTTGACAATAGTCAATGGTAAAGGTGAAATCTTATTTCTAGATTCTGAGAATAATCCAGAAATTTTTAAAGCTGCATTATTATCATTAGGTAAAATAGGTATTATAGTTAAAGCTACCATTCGTGTAGTGCCGGCTTTTAATATCAGATCAACTCAAGAAGTTTTGAACTTCGATACTTTATTGGAAAAATGGGATACCTTATGGACTTCCTGTGAATTTGTCAGAGTTTGGTGGTATCCTTATTGCAGAAAATGTATTTTATGGAGAGGTATTAAAACTGAAGAAGAAGTAACTCCAGCCAGAAAGTCATGGTGGGGTACTCGTCTAGGTAGATTTTTCTATGAATTCCTTCTATACGTTTCAGTAAGAATCTACCCAAGATTAACTCCTTTCATTGAAGAATTTGTATTCAACAGACAATACGGTAAAGTCGAGACTTTTGGTAATGGTGACAAAGCAATTTCTACCTCTGTAGAAGGTTTGAACATGGATTGTTTATTCTCTCAATTTGTTGATGAATGGGGTTGTCCGTTAGAAAACGGTCCTGAAATTTTACGTTCCTTAGATCATTCTATTTCTCAAGCTGCTTCCAATAATGAATTTTTTGTTCACGTCCCAATCGAGGTTCGTTGTTCCAACACTACCTTACCTAATGAGCCATTGGATTATTCATCAAGAACTGCAACAAGTCCAGGACCTGTATATGGTAACATAATCCGTCCATACTTGGATAACACACCATCTCAATGTAGATACGTCCCATTATCCGATGTAACTAACAGTCAATTGACTCTTTACATCAATGCTACCATCTACAGACCATTCCATTATAATACACCAATACAAAGATGGTTTACCTTATTTGAAGAGACCATGGATGCCGCTGGTGGTAAACCTCATTGGGCCAAGAATTTCCTAGGATCTACAAGATATTCTAACGGAATTGTCAAGGAAGAAGCTCAATATGATGATTTTGAAATGAGAGGTATGGCCAAGAGAGTACAAGAATGGTACGGTGACGATTTAATCGAATTCAGAAAAGTCAGAAGGGAACAGGACCCTGAAAACATTTTCCTATCAAATAAAGAATGGGCTTTGATCAACGGTATCGTTGATCAAAAGGAATTATAAGCATAAGTACAAGTTCAAAGCTCTCGTAGCCACTCCCTCCCCACGAATTCCACTCTGTCTGCAACATTTCATGAAATTAATTAATATTCCTCTATCTGAGAAGCTGTTCTCATCTCTTTCTCAACTATTTTTTTTATTATTATCTTTATGTTCAACAGAAACTGAATGTTACTATTTTTATAATTATTATTGTATATATACACACACTACTACCCAAGAATAAGATCATACATAATCAGTATAAAAACAAACTGCAACTACCAATTGTAACTTATTACCATTCCTTTATGTAATTTACATCTTTTTATATGTAATCAAATCAAAATTTTTATCATTTCTACGCCTGTTTCTTAAAGAACCTTCTAGATGATGAGCTGAAAAATATTGAAAAATTGGCGTATAACAGAGAGGGCATCGAAATTTTTCAAGAAGTTTATTTATAAGCTCTACTATATCAGTTAAATTGTCGTTTGGAATTTAATTATAGGTGATATTGGAAGGTAGATATATTGCTGGTTCAGGTGTCGTGGTTGTAATAGGATAGCTTATAAGTAGATCTCTAGTTGGGTTTTTGTTTTGTTCATTAATTGTAAAAATTGATTCAGTTGTGAGCTGCTAGATTATTATTTGCTGAGAAATTGAGCTATATATTAGAATAATACTGAATATACTGAGGTTACTGATATTTGAAAGATGAGTGAAAAGGAACAACTTGAAGGATTTAATATTTTAGATAACCCTATCCATGGTGTTTATATCCCAACTGCTTTGGTTATAGGTGGGTGTTCATTATTGACCTATATGTCTGGAGAAACAAGAATTTTATATTTTCTACCAATTGTTTTAACATTTTTATCCATAAGAGCTTATAATGCTTATTGCCGTAGAAGATCAGTTTGGCCAGATAGATGGACTGCTTTGGAATTGGAAGAACAAACTTTGATTTCTAAAAATGCTGCTATATATAGATTCAAGTTGAAAACTTCTTTTGAATCTTTAAATTTAAAGCCTGGTTCTTATTTAGCCATCAGAGTACCAATTGACGGTGAGGAAGTTGTTAGATATTATACTCCTATTTCTTCTAATTTCGAAACTGGTCATTTTGATATCATTGTAAAATCTTATTCTGATGGTAAAGTTTCTAAATATTTCGCTGGTTTGAAAACTGGCCAATTAGTCGATTTTAAAGGTCCAATTAAAAAATTGCATTATGCCACTAATTTTTTCCAAAAAATTGGAATTGTTGCCGGGGGTTTCTGGTATCCACCCTGTCTTGCAAGTCTTAAACGAAGTTATACTACTCCAGAAAATTTACCAAAATTAGAGTCATGTATGCAAATAAAACTGAAAATGATATCTTATTAAAAGGAAGAATTAGATGAAATGGCTGACAAATACCCTCATTTCTTCATCGAATATGTGGTTCAACATCCATCTGCTGAATGGAGAGGTGAAGTTGGTTACGTCACTAAGGAACAAATGGCTAGATTTTTACCAACTCCAATCGATGATCATAGATTGTTTATCTGTGGTCCACCAGATATGATCACATCAGTTTTAAAGTTTGCTCAAGAATTAGGATGGCCTGAAGGTGTTGTAGAATCTAAAGGTGACGATAAAGTATTTGTTTTCTAATCCATCTTATAAAAATTATAGAAATAAAAAACTAATATTAACATAATGTCATAAAACATTTTAACTAACATTATCCTAAATATGAGGATTTAGATGATTAACGCTATTAAATAATTGTTTATATATTGTATATCGATAAGTATATGCATTTGTTTCTTTATTAACTTGGTTATACCCCTTCCAAATTCCTTTGTATAGATCCACTAGTTTCTCTCTGCTTCACTCAATGATAAAGCTATTGCTAGTTGCAATTCTTCATCTTCTAGAGATGAAGAACTATTTATATTATTTACTGAGGAAGTAATATTTTCAACTTCGGTTGCCCTTCTCAATTCATCTTCAATCCTAGATTGTTCTAATGCCATTCTCAATTCCTCATCAATGCCTATTTGATTATCTAATGTGCTATTTTGTTCAGTATTAAACAATCTATCAGATTCCTGAATTGCATTTCTCATAGCTTCATCGTTTTCTGCATTAACAGCATTAGAAGTGTAATTTTCCGATTCCATAAGAGCTATGCGTAATTGTAGTTCTTCTTCATCCTCTATTCCATTAAGGTCAGTACTTGTTGTGAAATCACCACCATATGTATTTAACAACCTAGAGTTTTCCATGCGTTGAAGCTCATTTCTTTCTTCTTCCTCTTCATATAATTCAAGTTCAGCATTCAAAGTCTCTTTCCACTTTGTAGTATTGCGGTTGGCACTCGAACTTTGACCAGTACCTGATTTAGATGTCTCTGAATTATCATCCGGTATGAATTTGAAATAATGTACCATATTTTCCCTATTACTTAATAAAAGCCTTCCCTGAGAAATTCTTAGGAAGCCAGGTTCTTTTTCTGTTTTCTGTACCGTTTTAATCAATTCACCACTTAATGCATCGTAAATATTTACATAACCCTTAAGAGCACATACCATTACCAAATTTGTAATCTGGCATGTGTATGCTTTTTCTCCATTACTTAGTACTATTTTCGATTGTAGATGAAAAGTTGCACCAGGTGCTCGAATATCAACAATATAAATTTTATTCAAATCAGTTTTAATTGCGATAAAACATCCATCCTGTCCAGCGAGTTCCAACCTTTGATCTCTTTTAGCAGATGCTTCATCAATTACAACCTCCTCTATCAATTCATCTTCGAAATTCATAGATTTAGTAAAACCAAATAAGTTGTTATTTGGATTGAAGGATATTATATAAAGATTTTTGGTATCTCCTACCAATACAGATTTTGACCCAAAATCAACTTTAAAAAAATGTACTTTAACTGGTGCTCTACTGTTTATGTTTTTAATATCCAAATCTAAAGATATTTCGTTTAGATCTGTCATTCTATAAATGACATATATTTTCTCTTCATCCAATACAATAGTCCAATCTTTCCACATTTCCACTCTTAATATCGGCTTGTTCGATAGTTTCATGGATTTTACTTTTTTTGCTTCTGTCCACCATATTATGTCACCATTTTCTGAACCACTTATACACCTGTTTTCATTATTATCTACCGTTTTGATAGCAGTCACAGCTCCCGTATGATGATCATCAAACTCTACAATCGGCTGTAAGTACGATTTTGTACTTAACATTTTACCATATATTCTTCCATCAAATCTTCCAAACACTGCACACCCCAAATCAAAATGCATAGTTGAACAACCTTGAGGTGTTGTACATGGGATATAAGTTAACCTCGTCTTATTACCTCTAGTTTTTCTAAATTGTTGTAACTGAAGTAATGTAATGACACCGTCACTGTAACATAGGCAACGTGGATAATCAAATAATAGTTGCTCAATCTCTGACGTAACTAAACTACCACTTGAAATTGAATACTTAGTTCTCACTGATTTGTTATGTTTCCACTCGTTCAAACCATCTTTACGACTATTAAATTCCACACTAAACTTATTAGAGTTTGCATATGATGGGAAATAACTCGTCTTGAATTTAGACAGGAACAAGTTTTTCCAAAGTTCTTCATCATTTATAATATCGTAAAATTTTTTTGACAACAACTGCAGTATAAATAGGTCCCTTTCATCAAGATTACTAAATATATTAATTAGTATTTCTGAAGGCAGTTTCTCCAGGGACATAATAGCAATCTCCTTATTATCGTTGATCATATCTTTAAGAACCAGTAAACCAGCAATAATATTACAAATTAGAGAAATTCACAATACTATGTACAACCCAAGTGTTCTCAAACTTAGTAATAATATATTCCAATAGTTTTTATTCGTGTTAGAGTTAACCTTTATTTTCACTTCTGTTTTAAATTAAGCTAAAGCTGAAAAAAATAAAACTAACCTTTACAAACACACCAAATGTTACCTTCTATATTTCTATTCTCTTATAGACACCGCTAATCTTGGTTGTGCTCTCACTAACACTATTCATAATGTTATTTTTACCATCTCATCTCATCTCATCTCATCTCTTGATTTTTTTCATATATTTCAGTAGTTTTTCAACATTCCTTTTATACTCTAAGCTTTGAAGGTAATAACTGTAAAAAAATTGGCATAGCAACCCAGCACATGGGTTGGAAATAATAAATATATTACAAGATGTTATTAGATCGGCACAAGTTGAGGTTCGTTAAATATTGTTTAGTTCAGCTTTTTTTCCCTCCTACCTTCTTAAATATCCAAATAGCAATAAGATTTGATGAATTTAGTCATCATGATGCTCAACTGCAGTCAGTTTAAGATTTGATTGATAAGTACTCCTTTATTTTATGACAAATGACTGAAAAATATATTTTATACTTTACAAATTTAATAATTATATATATATATGTATACATGTTATTGAGTTATATGAGTTTCTTAGATGAATTCACTTAAATGGTGCCTTTAAAGGATCAATGATTTGACCTGGTTTAACGTTGATTCTAGGTTTAATTAATTTTTGATGAGAAGCTCTCGATGTCCATTCTTGACCGATAGGCATACGTAGTGATCTTTCGTATTGTTCCCTGCTTTCGAATGGGAATGGTACTGCTGATGATTGATATTTTAGATTTTTCTTATTTACTTTTTCATTTATAATGACGTTTTGCAAATTCTTATCTTTTCGTTTGTCCTTTTCTACAACACCTTTAATCTTTTTAACAAATTTTCTTTTCTTCTTTGGATTAGATCCTGCTCCTGCCCAATCACCCCATCCAGGTAATGTTACATCTTCCTCTTTATCATCTTCATCAATTGCAACTCGTTTCTTCTCTTCTTCAAATTCCGCAACAACATTATCACCAGCAAAAGCTTCTGCAATGACATCATGTTGTTTGAACATCAATCCATCTGTCCCATCTTCGCCATCTTCACGATATGGATCGACAAGTTCTAACTTGTTTGAACTGTCTAGATCCAAAAGTAAGTCTTCCTTCTTGTTCTTTGTATTACCTTTACGTGACTTTTGTTCATGTTTAGCAGCATCTTTCTCTAGCTTTTGCAAATGTTTAGTTTGCTTGGAACTGGTAGCATCAACTACAGACACCTTAGATGATTGTTTACGTGAGTAATCCTCTTCGTCAGAATCGTCATCTAGCCATGGGTTTGAAGCGTCATTATCTGACTTTTGTAATTTTTCCTTTGTTGGTTCACCAATATCTTCAGCTTCTTTTTGATTCTTTTTGTTCTTGGCTTGTAAACGTTTTTCAAGTGTTCTTGATTCATCAATAACTTGTTCTTCAATAACTTGTTCCTTGAGCTTATTTAATTCTTCTTTAGCTTCTAAATTCCCTGGGGTATAAATTCTACGACCTCTATTTATCGTCACATTTTCGGAGGCAACATTTTCATCTTCTCTATCACTATCGAATAATGTAATGTCATCTGTATTTTCTAGTTCTCTTAGTCTTGCAATTTCCTTTTTGTTATCCTCTTTTAATCTAGCTTCAGCATTCTTCATAAAGGCCATATTCATAACACCTGTTTTACCAACCTTATCTTTAACTGCTGCATCATCATCTGAATCATCATCTTCTAAATCACTTAGTCTATTTCTCTTGTCCTCATCTTCAGAATTGATATCTAGTATCTTCTCTCTTAATTTCTCACCTTGTTTTAACATTTCTTCCATCTCTTCTCTGGTTTCAGCGTCGTTTGACATACCATTCTTAACCATGTCCTTGGCCCACTTAGAATTAGCTTTGTGTTTTAAAGTCATTCTTTCTCTTGCTCTAGCAATGTCACGTTCTTCATCACTTTCATCGGAAATTCCAGCTAATTCCTTGTTCTTTAACATTTCCTTCTTCTTGATACGACGATAAGCCTTAGATTTAATCTTCTTTAATCTTTTGGACTTTCTTTCTTCACGGAACATCAACTCTCTCATCAGTCTCATTTCTGCAGTCTTCCTCCTCATCTCTTCTGGTGTCATCTTAGCAGTAGCAAGTTCTTCAAAAGTAGACTCTTTCAGTGGGTCTAACAAGTTACTTTCCGAAAGGACCTTATCAACCTTTTCTTGTAACTCAGTCTGAGGTTTATCTGATGATCTTGTAAATGTTGACGCATGATTATGCTCAGTTTGAGGGTTTAGAGGGAAATGTAAAAATTCAGATCTTTTATTTTGCTCAACTGCATCATTCCATCTATTAACTTCATCCTTAGAGATTTCATATGCTGCTTTACGTTCAAATCTCTTTTGAATTCTTTGAGGTAATGGGACTGCCAAAGTTGATTTCTTTTCATCCTTGACCAAAGTGGCTGTAGCAACTGCTTCTTTATCATCGATAGCACCCATCATATCAGCCAAATTAATCTTATTATTGGAGCTACCTTTAATAGATGGTAGACTAAATTCACTTTCTTCACGAACACCGTACTTGTCTAATCTTTTTAGTAGATTTTTGTCTGCATCATTTTCCAAATTCTTGGTAATAGTATTTAACTCCAATTCATTTTCGTCTTCTGACATTTCATCAAATGGATCAGACTCAGAACCTGATTCTTCTTCTTCATCATCTTCACTTTCTGAATCTTCACTGGCTTCATCACTCGACTTGTCATCATCATCTAATTGCATAACGTTCTTTGAATGTTCATCTTCACTAGCAGAGCCAACACCATTTTCTTTATCATCCAAATCCCAAACCTGGGACAAAGACATCAACTGTTCATCTTCAATAGAAGTGTAACCATCTTCTTCATCGATATCCATGTTATAATCGTCACCATGTTTCTTCTTTAGATCACGTAAAGTTTGTGAGAATTTAGAATTCATAACATCAAAGTCATCATCAGAACCAAAGGCTTCATCCGAATCCAACTCTTCATCTTCAAAACTATCAGCATCATCACCATCTTCATCACTTTCACCACCTTCTGCCTTCTTTAAAAGATTGACAACATTACTACGACGTTTACCATAATGGTGTCCTTCATCACTATCAGAATCATAACCACCAACTTCCCTTTCTGCAAGTTCTAAAGCATTAAGAGCCCTTTTAGAACTCTTGGACCTGGAATGTGTCTTCTTTTTAGCCATTTGAAACTCTTGACACCCTTGCCTTGCTGTGCTATATGGATAAACAACATCAATAAGACAACTTCCTTCTTATATATTCATCTCATCGCATCTCATCTCATCTCATCTCAAAATTTTTCATTTTCAAAATTTTCCAGTAGCCAAAAAAGTAATGGCATTGAAAGTTTTAAGACATCATCACCAAGGTGATGACATATGATAAGATACTCGTATTGATACAGATCAAATAGAATAACTGTTGAAAAGGATTGCTTGTTATGTATTATTTATTTTGATTGTTGAGTTTTCACAAGACTAGTTTAGACAAGAGAAATTGGTTGCGTGAGAGAGACGTTTCATGGAATGGTCTTAATTCTAGCATATTACGCTTGATTACGAATTGGGTTGATTTGATATAATCTTTGAGAAATAGAAGGTCTGTTAATTTGGAATTTCATAATATTGTGAATCAAGAGAGAAGCATATTTTTCTTGATTTGATATTGGTATATTTTACCAAAGTGAATCCGCATCGTTATTCATAAGAAGTAAGGATAGATATACCCTAAATTGTTTATCGTATTTGAGAGGTGACTGAAATACAATTTTAGTTTGACACAATACAGTATGAATAACACTGATCCTACCTCTTTTAAGAGCATATTAGAAGGTGTAAAAAGACTACGAAAAGAGCATGAGCCTAATGCTGGTGATACGCCAGAAACTACTCAGAAAGAACCGAGTTTACATAGACATGATCGAACTTCAACCACAACGACAACATCATCATCACCATTGGTAGAAAGGACACCGATGTCTGGTGTATCATCTTATGATAAAGGGAAAGCTACATCAACTTCACCTTCTAAAATTGTTAATGCAATAACTAGAGAGGCTATTCCTATCAAGAGGCCATTAAATGACGATGAGACAAAGGGTAAGTTGGACACTAGGAAACTTCCTGGAAAATCAGTGCTTGTCAACACAACACAAAAGGAGAATCCACTGTTGAACCATTTAAAGAACACCAATTGGAGATATATCTCGTCGAGTGGTGGTAACAAGATATACTATGATTATTTTGTTAAACAGAGAGCAGTACTGTTTCTAACATTAAGTTATCATAAACTATACGCAGATTACATTTCAAGAAGAATGATACCATTATCTAAAAATGATAACAACGTTCTGATATTTATTGTGGACGACTCTAACTCAGAGGATTCATTAAGGGAGATAACCAAAATGTGTATGTTCAACGGATTCACATTACTATTAGCGTTCAATTTCGAACAAGCAGCAAAGTATATAGAATATTTAAATAAATAACCAAGACGAAATGAAGAGCATTGACCAAATATAACCAAATGTAACCGAATTAAGAAATTCGAATATTCCAGAAACTTTTCCCATCCATTCATTGATCTATTGTCACCTAATCGGGAAATTGGTATTGGCATTACCATTGCATTGGCATTAGCATTGACATTGACATTGGCATTGACATTGACATTGATCCTGAATCAGAAACCAAAGAGTAGTCCTCTCTTTTCTCTTTATATTTTATCTTACATTTGAATCAACGCCAACAGCAGCAGCAGCAGCAGCAACTGAAAGAAGGAAATTTTAAAGACATTCCATCTCCTACAAACCCACTGATCTAAGCCTCCAGTTATCAATACCAAACCTTCTTTAACCTTCCAACATCTTCTTGCCAAGTACTTTCGAATCCTCAGTTCCTCTCTCTCTCTCTCTCTCTCTTTGCTGGTCGTTTCTTGTTGTTGCCTGCCCACCACTCAAAAATTCATGCGATACCGTCCCATCTCGTTCGTTAACTATGGGAGGGCAGAAATTTTAAGATTATTAATACTCAAGGCTAAAATTTAAGCTGAGAGTGCTATTTAAAGAAATTTCATATCAGTTACATAATGAGATGATTCTTAGTATATATATACATGTATTGGATATAAGGTCTGGTTTGTATTGGATCAAGAGGTGACTGAAGGTTGATTTTGTTTCTAGTTGTTCTGTATTAGAGATATATCGCTTTGGTAGGTCCTGGTTTTGTTCTATTGCTGGTATTTTGGGTTGTTTCAGTTTTATATTAGTAAAACTATAATATATAGAGAGATAAAGCAATAGTTTTTAATAGTTTGTTGGAATGAGAGTTAGTGGAGTCTTGGCAGTATTGGGACTCGTGTCTCCTGTGGTTCTGGGTGATGTGGTTGCTTCAGATTCTTCGAAAGCTACTAAAGTTTCCGACTACAGCAGTGTCTTGGAGACTAATTTCTGTAAGATGGATAAAGATGAGATGATTGGACCAAATTGTGAAGTGACATTCAAAGAGATCAATGACATTAACCAAAATATTAGAAAAAATGTGATAGATTTGGTCAATACTGATTTTTTCAAATATTTCAAGATAGATCTTTATAAACAGTGCCCATTTTGGGACGACAACAACGCGTATTGTGTTAATAGAGCTTGTGCTGTTGATATAGTTGAAGATTGGGACACTTTGCCAGAGTACTGGCAGCCTGATGTTTTGGGTAGTTTGAGTAATGGCACTACCGTGGAGGATACTGATGATGACGATGATGAATTTACATTTTTAGACCAACTTTGTGCAGGTAACAATAAACAGAAATTTATGGCCGGTGGTGATGTTAACTATTGTGACATGGAAGATTTCAGTAAAGAAGGTTCTGTTTTAGTAGATTTAAGCGCTAATCCTGAAAGATTCACTGGCTATGGTGGTGAGCAATCCGGTCAAATTTGGTCTAGCATTTATCGTGAAAATTGTTTTACTTTGAATGAAACTGGCCAGTCTATAGCTAAAGACGTATTCTTTAGATTAGTTTCAGGTTTGCATGCTTCTATTGGTACCCATTTGTCCAATGAACATTTGAATGTCGAGACCGGTAAGTGGGAACCTGATTTGGACCTGTTTATGGCTCGAGTAGGTAATTTCCCAGAAAGAGTCTCAAACATGTATTTCAATTACGCTTTAGTTTCAAAGGCCTTATGGAAAATTAAACCTTACCTAAACCACCTAGAATTCTGCAGTAGTTACGACGAAGATGTCAAGGATAAAATTATCAACATTATTTCCCAATTAGATAGCAAAATTTTTAACGAAGATTTGGTTTTTGAAGACGATTTGAGTTCCAAATTAAAAGATGACTTTAGAGTGCGTTTCAAAAACGTTACTAAAATCATGGACTGTGTTCATTGTGATAGATGCAGATTGTGGGGTAAAGTTCAAACTACTGGTTATGCCACTAGTTTGAAAATTTTATTTGAGCTTGATGAAGGTGATGAACAAACGAAACAACACATTGTTGATAAGTTAACTAAATATGAACTAATTGCATTATTCAACACTTTAGACAGACTATCCAAGTCCATTGAGTCTGTTAACAACTTTGAAAGACTATATAACGAAAAATTAAAATCAAAGGACACAGGTACTTTAGCTTCATTTTTCCAAAACAACAACTTTTTCAAATTATTAGGTAAAGCCAGTAAATGCATAACGGAATCAGTTCAAGAGGTGAATAAAAGTTTAAATAATAGCATACAAAAAAGAAATGAACCAAGTTCTAAGATTAACAAAAAACAGGAAAAGCAATTTAGCGACTTGAAAATGCCTGAAAAGAAACCTCAACAAAAAAGTAACCAACAAGTTGAAAATGTCTGGAAGAAAGCTTGGAATAATGAAATCCATAACTTAAAAGAAGCTTTCACATTCATTTATAGAAGCTACTTGGATTTGCCAAGAAATATCTTTAAATTAACCCTGTCTACAGTTGCTAGATTATGGAATAGATTTATTGGTGTTAAGGATTATTTAAGAGAATCTGATAAGGATATCTCCTATGAGATAAACCTTCAATAGATAGAGGAAAACAATTATTTTACATTATTAGTCAAGTTGTCACTTTTTCGATTTTGTATTGATTACTCGTATATAGGGAAATAAATTAGGATTTTGACTTGAAATATAACCATAACTATATTATATACTCTCACTTTATATATTAAATCGAATAAAACTAAATTGGATCAACTCATTGGCTCCTTGATAATGTTATCCAACGACAAAACTAAAATGGCAAATCGTTACCAATCAATATACATAAATTCAATTGGTACATGGATGACATTTAGATCTATTTAAGGAATTGCGTCATACGCAGACAGTGATATAAAGAATCGATTGCATTATGCATTTTCAACCGTGAATGAATGCCAGTATAGACGGTAAGTATATTTTGAAGTGAATTATTTCAATGGAAACCTTTAGTTAAATTCCTCCAATCCTGACAGCTCCAATAGAATCATATATATGACATCTGAACTGTTAGTTATACTGTTTATCACGATTTTCAAAGTCTATTCGTATCCCATATCGACTGACAATTAAAAGAGAGAATGTTCCGGAAAAACCCGTTCGGTTGAATCTTACTTGTTATGGAAAAATGTTTAAGATATATTTCTGTATAAATACCAAGTCATCGCAAGATAATTAATAACAATGGATGGTTATTTGAAGAAGAATGGCAGATATATAGCGTCAGTGAAGCATAAAAATGTTAATTAATAACCAGAAGTTGAGGCAAACAATATCTTATTTATCATGGGGTGATATTTTGTTACCTTTCACGATTATTTTATCGATAATTGTTGGTATTCTAATATCTGTATATTCGCCAT